TCGGGTATACTAAAGCCGTGTGCTTATCAGACCATAATACAGCTCAGTTATTGTCTGTACCGGTAAAATTACGTAAAGCACCGCTTAAAACTTGTTTTGAAATGAGACGTAATTATAGTATTGACAACTTGAACAAATTCAAATGTGTTTTGACGAGCTACCTATGGCGAAACCTTATTGACTTCGAAAATGTAGATGGTGATTTCACACTATTTCATAATGAACTTATTCCCTTGTATAATTTATGTTTTCCCAAATACATAATGTTTTTAAACCCTTGGTTAGCCATTTTGATTTTGTGTTAGCTTTATTAAAAGCCATAATTTTGTATTTAATTTACTAAAAGAAAATTACGTTTGTCTTATTATAAAAAACACACATAACGCTAAAAATAATTACCGACAGTACTCCGAAATACTTAGGAAATGTATACTACCATAAAATACTATAATACACAATAGAAAAGCTGTCAACCTTATTTTGTAAGAGGTTCGGTGTCACCGAGAGCACACATCTTGTTTATATACAATATCTTTGGTATTTTATTGGTTATACAGGTGGCCAAATAAGACGTATGCAAATTAATTTATAAAATTTACTTTAAATAAACAAAAATTACAAGGTATTTTTTCAAAAAAAAAAACTTTATTTAGGCTAGACAATTACATGGGGAATATAACATCTGCCAAATGTAGCATGACAAATTAGAACTCTTTTCATTGCTTTTCTCGTTACATTTTAGCACACTTCCGGTGTTATGACATTGACTGCGTCTCGGATATACTAAGTATTGAAAATTCATCGACTGTTAGAATTAACACGTCCCTTTAGATATCTCCACAGAAAAAAGGCACCATTTCTTGAAATTAATTGATCTGAAAACATTCTTCGCAATGTTTCGATTATGTTACGTGCCGTATGACACGATTCATTTGATGATTCACAAATTGTTCACCATCTTACGACAGCGATCTTCATTCACTGTTACAGCAGCACCCGTAGCATCTTCAAAGAAGTAAAGTCCTTAAGGTCCTTATTCCTCCTGACTATATTTCACACCAGACTGTTACTCGACATGGCTACAGTGGTGGTTCATGGATCAAAGCAGGTTGTTCTTCACTCCAATAGCGCGAATATAGTTTATTGACAAATCCACTGACATCAAAATAAGCTTCATTACTCATAAGTCATAATGATTTTTTGGTGAAAATCAGAGTCGCTTTCCAATTTGGTCAGCTTAAAACTGCTGAAATTACGACGGTGTTCATAGTCCCAAGGCTTAAGCTCTTGAGTTATCTGAACCTTATATGGGAATAGACCCTGGTCTTTTTTCGGAACAGTCTGTAGAGAGATCCTCTTAATTTCTAGTTGTTAAAAAAGATATCTGGTAGACAATGTCTCTCTCTTTGGCTTCACTTTCACGAACAATTTTAATATTCTGATATGTATGAACTGTTCTGGCACGATGAAGAACGGAAGGTTAACGATAAGGAAAAAAGAGGTTTATTTGGTACAATGTCATGCTGTTCAAAATTATCCACCAAACTAGTTATTGTTAGCCCCGAAAGTAAGTGATTTTACTGAGAATTGGTCGCAATTTTCTGAGAGTTTTCGTAATAGAAGATTGATTTGATTGATAATAAAACACGTTCCTTAAACGAAAAACGCTCCATATCTATTTTGCCGCTAAAAAACGCCCCTAAAAAATAAAAGTTTAATCCACAAAAATAAATTCGACGTTGAATTATCAATACGCTGCCTATCTTTTTTTAACTCAGCTAAAAGTGTCGTTCATAAAAGAAACAGAAATAGAAATTGTTCCATGTACTGGTAAACATTTTTAGGATGACGTCATTTAACTTGTGCACCGAACACCTTGCGGTCGATTCCGCTATTTATTGTTTAATATTTTATATTAAAAATGGCTGTTTGTTATTTCTTATTTTTAAAATTTTCGAATATTTAAATAGTTTATGAAATTTAATAGTATTTTTTTTTCAATTCAATATAAGTATGAAGATGTTGTCTACACTAAAATATGCTTCAGTGCTATATTCTTTAATTTTTTACACATTTTTAAAGTTTTTTTTATTTTTCTACTTTTAGGAATATCCATAGTTTGATTTATTTATTTCCAATTTAATTATTGTAAAGTTAAATAATATTTCAGAAAATGAATTAATGGACACTTTTCTAACAAATTATCCACCCCTGTCTACCCTACTATAAAATTTGTCATGGCACATTTAGATTATTGGACGAAGAACTCGCCGAATAAGATTAATAATAATGTATATTGTGAATTAATGTAAATACTAGTAAACATTGTATGTTAATTATTATCTTTGTTTTATTTGTCTTATCTATTTCTTTATAATATCTTTTTATTATTATTTGTTTGTAATATTGTTGGCCACACGGGATTGTCTATTAGAAATCCCGGGAAGATCAATATTAATATCAGTATTTCGATGCAAGTACATAAATAACTTTACCAAATTCCGACCTCTATTGATTAGTTACTTCAATCCATCGCAGTAGGTAGGTATGTTATTATTCACTATTATTTTTATATTATTTTATAAGAAAAATAATAACCACTCGCGACAAAGTCACGGGTCAAGCGAATAATGACGAGTATGTAAATAATGTAACGAATACGCACGAACATTCCTTTGACTCATGTTAAAAACCGACATCGAGTGAAGAACAGGCGAATACTCGGACCGAGTAGCGAGAACATCCGAAAAAAGCGTTTATATGTTCGTACTCGTGTCTATTCGTCCATGCTCGGCGAGTATCTAAATATTTTACCACACTACAAAGTGGCGTCACCCTGGTTGCAGATAAAATCTCAGCGTAAGTACAACCATAGAGAGAATGAAATATTATAAATCCGTGAGAGGCAATCTCCAAGAGTATATAAATCTTATTAATACCGAATAAATTAACCTTTTATTTTGCTTTTAATCATAATAAAACATTTAAGACCTTCCAAGTATTAAACGTTATCAACATGAAAAATTCACGGCGATTTTTTCACCTCCCGCTAAAGTGACGAACTTTTTTTTAAAACTTTATCTGCCTTATTAATAAAAATTGCTTATTCCAAGCATAATTCGAAGTTACACTTAGACTAGCTAATCTCAGAGTAACTGACTATTTACTTCGTTATTACAATGTTATTAATAAGCATGGAGTAACCTCGGACTAACTATACATTCCTTACGCCGGGATTAAGGCTTGCGCTATGGCAACCCACTTATTTTAAAAGTAAAAAAGAGTGAGTCAGTGAATGATTAGTGAATGAATTCAATGCTTGATGATGACATTAATGACAGTGACAGGCAATATTTTGAGTTTGACAAGAGATAAATGTTACGGGTTGTTCCTTGTTCCTCGTGTTGTTTTTGAAATCGGTGGAAAAACTAAGTTCTAAATATAATAATTTTTAATATTATTTGTAACGAAATTTTAGAATTAAGAAAAGAGCGTGAAGGGCAAAATTAATTAAATAACCATTTTTGTTTTGTGTTTTGGGGATAAATAAAATCTTTTGTACATGTAATTATTGTATATTTATTTAAAAAAATCGTTAATAGTGCTGCCCGAACAGGATTTCCTCTAACGGATTTATTTACTAATTATGTGACCGATATATTTTCATCATCTCCTTATACTACATCCTTAAGCAGATCTTGCTTTTGCATTGCAATGTATATATTGTTTTGTATACACTTGTTTAGTATTTAGTCCTCGCAGTAAACACCGAAACCTTTGCTTTCCTCCAAAGCATTGTTCTACAGTGTAACGGGGCCACCAGATGTGCGGCCGGTTGTACATTCTTCCTTTTGTTTATTAGGACGCAGGATAGGAGTGTACAAATAAGAAGTACAAGCATAACCAGAATCTCGGAGAAGTCTGCCTTTAAATTCTGACTGCTCAAACATTTGTTTTAATGCGACGATAATTAAATATTCTTGAGTCATGTGTGCTACCTTGCCAATGTGCCACTGTATCCATGAACTCTAAATTTGCATTTGACACAACCTGGAACAAAGCACTCATAACTTCTTTAATATGAAGTAATAGATTGAGGTGATTGTATTGAATCTGAGAAAATAACTAAGTACCTATACGGCAGAGATGGGCTAGCTAGGTGCTATAAAACTTACTTGTACATTTATTGAACTGTATCTTTTCCTGTTTATGTAGTATTGTCCGATGTTTCCAGCGACTTTCGGGATTAGAATATGTAGCAATCAATAGCCCCAATCACTTGTCTAAATCCACATAATGAATAAAAACCTGCAATCACTTTGTTCTGCTCCACATCACTTCTTGGTATTTTAATCCATTATGCTGTTTTTCTTACTAGTGCTTACAACTTATGAATTTAACACGGGTACCAACGCGTGTAAACGTACGTAAAGTTTTACAAAATGTCAAAATACGCGACTGGTCTATGCTTACTCAGTCGTTAAACTAGGTACCGCCAAGGATTAACTTTTATTCCGAGAGTAGATTCGGATTAGTTTACTCCCTCCTTACTCTATGTTTATTAATACTGAAATTAGATATTTTAAGCTTTAAACTAGGAGTAAAGTTAATCTTGCTCAAGTCTGTGTTTATTAATAGGGCTATATGCGTTAGGTTTTTCTTATTGGAAAAATACCCAAAAGTTATGTCAACTATGGATAATTTATAATGTCTGGAAATAATTAAAATCGAGCTATACGCATAATGTCGCCATTTTTTCTGTCTAGATATCATCATTATATTAAAGACATAAATAATAAATAAGATGAGAGAAGCTACGAGCAAAACCCATTTTTCTGTTTCCCAAGAGGTTCTTGCTACTCAATTGTAAAATTTAGAACTAAACTTCACTTTTCAGTCCAACGACAAATTTTTACTCAACTTATTTCTAAACGTTTTACAAAAAGTGGCAATGCTTAGTACTAATGTCAATAATGTCATTCCGCGACAACAATTAAAAAATGTCGGAATCGTGTCAAGACGGTAATTGTCATGGAATTAATGAATATGGGCCTGACGAATCACCCACAAAACTTATTGTCAATTATATTCCCGAAGTCATGACGCAGGATATGATGTTCTCACTATTTTCAACGATGGGTAAATTAGAAAGTTGTAAATTGATAGCTAACAGAGGATATGGGTTCGTCGAGTACACTTGTCCTGAAGATGCAATCAAGGCTCGTAAGGCTTTTAATGGTCTATTGATGCAGAACAAAACTTTAAAAGTGTCACATGCGCTGCTCAACCCCGAGCTAAAACCTCCATCGAAACCGGAAGCGGACTGGAACCTCTACGTATGTAATTTACCTAATGAACTGACCTTGCAGGATTTACACGGACTTTTCGCACAATTTGGTAAAATAGTCAATTCTCGTATAGCCGCTGGCATAGCTTTTGTATTGTATGAACACCAATTTGAGGCAGAGAGAGCCATTCAGAATATAAATGGCACCACACCGCCTGGTTTTTTACATCCATTAACTGTTAAGTATGCTAATAAGAGTAATCCAAATAAACATAAAAACAATAACAATAATTTTTCTAAAAACCCTCTGGTAAAACCTTATCATTGGATAAATCACATGAGCGCCTTAGGAGATCATAACTCGCCAAGCACATGGTCTATTTATATTTATAATATTGCTCCTGAAGTAGAAGAGTTGACTTTATGGCAATTATTTGGTCCATATGGTGCTATTGTATCTGTAAAAATTATAAAAGACCATCAAACGAATAAGAGTAAAGGATTTGGATTTGTAACTATGAGAAACTACGATCAGGCAGCTATGGCAATACAGGCTTTGAATGGATATGTTCTCCATGGCCAACCTCTCTCTGTAAGTTTCAAAACACAAAAGAGATAATGTTTCAAACAAGGGCCTTATACAATTTATAATATCAATACAGTAATAAATAGACAAAATAATTTTTTATCATTGATTGGCATCAGCAGATACATTATAAAATAGTTCCAAGGCTTGAGCCTGAGTGCACTTTAACCGTTTGTGAAGTCTGTCGACTTTTGTTAAAAATAATATATTACTTTGAGCTATCGACATTGTTAAGTTTGTTTCTTATTACGAATAATAATTTATTCAGTTTGCTCGTTAAATGTTTCAAGTTTACTAGAAGTTTAAGATTTGTAATGAAAATGATTGTTGTTTGGGAGTTCAACATCAGTTGTGAGCTATGCTTTGATTATTTTTATCTATTATTTAAGTATAATAAATCTTATTAAAAATGTGCTTTTACAAGATCTAACTAATTTAAGCCACATTGAGATGTTTAATCAGCTACTAGTTTTAGTTGTACACTTTTTATAACATGATGTCTATGTAGGTAGTGAAACGAAATCTAGAATATATCATATTTATACATTTAGTATAAAATTTGCTGAATTAAAGTTCATTTTCACAATTTTAATATGTGTTTTGTATTTAAGTATCACTTACTTGGTCTGCTATTTTGTATGAAAGACTATGAATATTTATCCTAAGATCTTTTTTTTAGGTTTCTGTAGTTTAACAACAAGTAACCCTTTTTAGTTTCACCATGTCTGACCATCCCTCCATCTGCACTTTTACTCAGACACCCTAGGTGCCTGCAAAACTGTATTAATCACGCCTACAAAACTGAAATAAAATTTTAAAAAACATTTTTGTTTTGGATACCTCCCAAACAGGTAAATGGAGGATGATTTATTTTTTATTTGTCTTCCACCATACGGCATATGGGGTATCATTGGACAGGTCTGTCAAAAACACTGGAGGTATGAAAGAACTTCTTTTCGATTAAGGGGTCTGTTTGTGAAATATTTAGCTTTAAAGTGGTATTTTTCATTAGAGTCATGTGTTACCTCCCCTCTACCACATAAACTGCTGTGTTTGGAAATGCGAAAGTATACTCTATAGTAGCATATATAATAAAGTTAAAAGGAAAACTATCACAGCTAAGTAGAATTAACAAGTTAATGACTAATCCATCAACTTATAATCAACTTATAAAACTAGTCCATCAACTTATAAAATGCACTTGGATACGTAAAAAATTCACTACAACTCTATAGAAAATGACTAAAACTAGCTGCATTATAACTTTAAATGTTTTTGTAAACTGTAAGAAATAAACATTTTATGGAGAAAATGATATATGCATTGTTACTATAGCTTTATTTTTCCTATGTGGGATAGGCAGCAGGGTAGATCTTTCTTACTTACTACTTTTGACTATTTGTTAGTTATTGTAGGCCTTATTAAATGTATATTTATACAATCATATAGCCTCATACAGGATTATTTGTATTACTCTTGGTTTACATGAGCGGCCTTCAGGATAATTTAGGGCAGCTTTATTATGGTGATATATATTTTAGGATTGCACTGCCGGGAATATACAGATAGATAGTCCAACTATGACCATCTTTGTACAGACTTGGCATGTGAATGATTTGATGTAGATTGTATTATTTTCAAAATCAAATGGTATTCAAAGAAAATTTTTTAATTTTCTTTGAATACCACTCCCTATAAGTCTAATTGGAAAATAAGTCCTTCAGTTACCATCGTCCTGGGTACCAGGTTCCAATACCACACAGAACAAGTATTTGTATGGCCTATAAATAATTGTTCTAAGTTTTGATATTTATCAATATGCTATTTATGTATTTAAAATACTTCCACAATACGGGAGAAAATCCTAAAGTTTTAACATTAATTATACTATATCATATACTATATTCAACAATAAACTTAAATTATTGTCAAGAAAATCAAATGTTATGTTATTTTTAATTGTATATATTTAGAAATTTATCAGTGTTCTGTATGTCTTCTTGATAATTTCTTTATAATCACTTTTCTAGCATCCTGTAATCAATTCATGTGTGGTGTAATATGTGCAAAGATGTGTTCAAATACAAAATATCTGTTTCAATAACAAATGCAGATATCATAGATAACTGATAGTACTTTGCTGATTATCTACTAAACTTGGTACAGTAGAAGTCCGATAATCCGGCACATTCGGGACCGGCTCGGTGCCGGACTACCGAAAATTCCGGTCTATCGGGCAGTAATTATAAGAACAATTAGCAGCCTTGGAAGCGATGCTGGAGCTAACTCCGCTTCATCTACATATACAACAAGAAGCGACTTTAGCTGCCATCAGACTCAAGACCCTAAATCTTTGGAGTAAGAATAGTGTCCCTCATACAGGCATAATTGATAGAATTCACTCAGAAATTCCTATCCTACAAGCCAAATACGATAGGATTCCTAAACAATTTGTTTTCGATAAGAAATACAAGATACAATTAAATGAAAACAGCCAGCCGGAAGGATTAAGCCCAAAAGAGCTTAGAATTTTCACCGATGGTTCTAAAACAAATGAAGGTGTAGGTTCTGGAGCTTTCTCTGAAGACCTCAACATTCACATATGCACACCGCTGGGTACCTATAACACGGTCTTTCAGGCGGAATGTATGGGTATCATTCAAGCGGCCATAGCAATAGATGCTAGGAAGGTTAATGACTTCCCCATCAGAATACTGACCGACAGTAGGGCGGTACTACAAGCTCTGAGTTGCAATGGGATGAACTCTGGACTAATATATGAATGCCATCAACGATTAAATGAGGTATGTAAAAACAACAATGTGACTCTGCAATGGATAAAGGGACACAGTGGATCCAGAGGCAACGATGCAGCGGACGAACTGGTCAGAAGAGGATCGGCTCTGGCCACTATAGGGCCGGAACCAATCATACCAATCCCCTTTGGTAACGTTCGTTCAATGGTACGTAGACACTTCACTAATCAACACGCTCAGCTTTGGAAAAATCTAGTAGACTGTAGACAAGCTAGGGAGGCCCTACCTGTAATAAACAGTCGCTTAACTAAAGTTCTAATGAGACTGAACAAGCCGCAGATCAGGATAGTAACAAGTGCTATCACAGGACACGGCACCTTTAACAAACATTTATTTACTATAGGTGTTACAGATAGTCCCCTGTGCAGGGCATGTATGGGGGAGGAAGAAACGGCGGCCCACGTGCTACTGAAATGTCCGGAGGTCGCTACGTACAGGGCTAAACATCTCGGCACGCCGGGATCACTCCCCGAAGTTGCATGCAACATCAAGGGACTGTTGAGCTTCTTCGGGGAGATCTCATGGCTCGAATAATCACATTATTCCTGCCCACACGCAAAATACGCGCATAGACGTGGAGTTGCGGAAAACAGCCCGTCGCAAACTAAACTAAACTAAACTATAAGAACAATTAGGTTAATAATTAAACTACAAATACAGTATGCAAATATGTATGTATGTACATACAACAAAGTTTATTTTACATTTCATATACATAATGTATGTACACGTACTTTAAAACATATTTCACTTAGATTTAAAAAGGCCAGGAAAGTCTTTGTTTTCTTGACTTTTGGCGTTTAGTGTAAAATTTATTTCTAATGATATGGAAATCAATAATTTTTGAAGCACTGTAGCTAGTACTAGCCTCAGCAAAAGAGATAAACTTATTTAGTGATTCTGCAACTTCTGCCCAGCTGATTTTTTTCTTTTGTTCCGTTTCGGCATCTAAGTCACTTTCTTCAAGATTTTGAGTAGGCTGAGGGTTTACTACAATGTTGATAATGTCCTCATCGGTTAGTTCTTGTTCAACAGGCCCATTCTAGTAGATTAGAAGCCACTCCTCTACCTCATCTTTAGGCAGGGTTTTCAAGGGATTGTCAGCACTTCTAACGACATCCAAAGTCCGCTTCGTGATTGATTAACTACGTAATTGTTTCCGAACAATACCGAGCGCTTCCAGATGATCCCGAACCACCCCGAAAACTTCCGAATAGCTCTCGAGCGTTTTTATTTGCTTTAAAGACACACTTTTGGTGAAAACCAAAAACCAGAGAGCGATGCCGGACTATCGGGCATTCCGGTCTGTTGGATGCCGGACTAATGGACTTCTACTGTAATAGTAATTTAACGTCTATCAAAATTTTCATTTACAAAATCTTTATCTACTACAGCCCTTGCTGTTTGATTAGTGTTCATTTGCGTTTAGATTTCAAGTTGCTCAACATTTTCCAAACAATAAAATATCTGTCGAATTTATAAAAGTGAAAGAGTTTTTCCTATGAGTTTATTTATTAAATCTGAAGTTAACATTCAAACAATGCAAAGTCTAAATTAAAAGATTTTACCAATTTTAAAATTAATTTAATTTTTTACGAAAATATTTAGCTTGAAAAGGAATTCAATAATTTCCTATAATTTGGCAAAGCTTTGGTAACCTTATAGTTTAATTTTTTAAATGGGAGCAACAAAACCTAACCTCCATTTATATCATAGAAACTGTTCATATTTGTGTACTAATATAATATGTGCTTTATGGTGAAGGAATACATTGTGATAAAACCTGCCTGTCTAAAAAAATACAAGTATTAGTCCTTCCCTTCTCTGCTTTAAAATCACTCTTAGAAATGATGGAAGTGTGTACCCCACCATAGGATGGTATTCGGCTATTGTTTTGTGTAATTGCTGTCATTAATCTATTATCCACTTATGTTTTCAATGAGTAGTTATTATGCAATAAATCTATATTGGATAATATTAAAGTTTAAAAAAAAACTGAAATAATCTAGTAAGAATACTTGGTCGTAGTCATGAATTTATTGAATTATCATCGGTTCTTAATATTATGTCTACAAAGTTTCAGATTACTTATATATACAGATCAAGATATTAAATAGCATGTAATAAATAATATTCTATTATATTCTACTGATGTAGGCAAGAACTCTTAAATTTTAAATGTGATAGAGCTGCATCTATATGAAGTGAAGGACCACA